TGCTGCTTAAAACTCGCTCAGGTGAGTCCAGGTGTGCTCAGGTGAGGTTACTTGTGCTTCAGGTGAGTCCAGGTGTGCTCACCTGTGCTCCAGGTAAGGTTTCCTGTGCTCCAGGTGAGTCCTGGTGTGCTCAGGTGAGGTTACCTGTGCTCCAAGTGAGTCCAGGTGTGCTCACCTGTGCTCAGGTAAGGTTTCCTGTGCTCCAGGTGAGTCCAGGTGTGCTCACCTGTGCTCCAGGTAAGGTTTCCTGTGCTCCAGGTGAGTCCAGGTGTGCTCAGGTGAGGTTACCTGTGCTCCAGGTAAGGTTTCTTGGGCTCCAGGTGAGGTTTCCTGTGCTCCAGGTGAGTCCACGTGTGCCCAGGTGAGGTTACCTGGGCTCCAGGTGGGCTCCAGGCTGGGTTAGAGGGGTGGGACAGGTGTGGGAGGGGCTGATTCCATTCCCCAGGATCGGTTTGTGCTGCTTAAAACTCGCTCAGGTGAGTCCAGGTGTGCTCAGGTGAGGTTTCCATCTGGGAAACACCTGTAACACACCTGGTCTCTACTGTAACACACCTGGGCTCTACTGGAACACACCTGGGCACACTTGTACACACCTGTAACACACCTGGGCTCTACTGTAGCACACCTGGGCTCACCTGTAACTCACCTGGGCTCACCTGTAGCTCACCTGTGCTCACCTGCAGGGCCCGCAGTGCCAGCGGTGCCGCCCGGGGTTCGTGGGCTCGGCCCTGGGGGGGGGCACCTGTCTCACCTGTCGCTCCTTCTGCCGCCACCGCGCCGACGTCTGCGTGAGCCGAGCCGAGCTGGAGCGGCACCGGCGAGACCCGCGCAGGTACCCCCTGGAACCACACCTGGTGAGTGCCCCAGACACACCTGGGCACACCTGGGATACACCTGGGGTACCTGGGATACACCTGGGGACACCTGGGATACACCTGGGATACACCTGGGTTACACCTGGGATACACCTGGGATACACCTGGGTTACACCTGGGATACACCTGGGATACACCTGGGGTACCTGGGATACACCTGGGGGCACCTGGGATACACCTGGGGACACACCTGGGACACCTGGGATACACCTGGGATACCTGGGGACACACCTGGGATACACCTGGGTTACCTGGGGATACACCTGGGGATAGACCTGGGCACACCTGGGATACCTGGGGACACACCTGAGGGTACCTGGGACACACCTGGGGGCACCTGGGATACACCTGGGGATACACCTGGGATATCTGGGACACACCTGAGGGTACCTGGGGATACCTGGGACACACCTGGGCACACCTGGGATACCTGGGGACACACCTGGGATACCTGGGGACACACCTGAGGGTACCTGGGGATACCTGGGACGCACCTGGGCACACTTGGGATACCTGGGGACACACCTAGGGGCACCTGTGATACCTGGGACACACCTGGGCATATCTGGGGATACCTGCGACACACCTGGGATACCTGGGGACACACCTGGGGACACACCTGGGGATACCTGGGACACCTGGGGATATACCTGGGCTCACCTGGGATACCTGGGGACACACCTGAGGGTACCTAGGATACCTGGAGGCACCTGGGAACACACCTGGGGATACCTGGGGCACGCCTGGGGAGGGACAGACACACCTGGGATGCACCTGAGGGCACCTGCGACACAACGGGGGATAACTGGGGCACCCCTGGGACTCACCTGGGGCACACCTGGGACTCACCTGCGTGTCTCACCTGCGCAGATCCACACCTGGGTGTTGGAGGGGCCGAGCGAGGCCCAGGCCGTGTGCGTGAACTGCCAGAACAACAGCGTGGGCGACAGGTGTGACACCTGCCGGGCCGGCTACTTCATGCTGGACGGCACCTGCACCAGGTGAGGCTCACCTGGGACACCTGGGACAGGTGTGCTGTCACCTGGGAC